CGTAACAATATGCGTTTTTTACTGCCGTTACACAGCACAAAACGCATAAAAAACCAATTAAGTCACAAGCAAGCATCTTTGTCTTTCCGGAAACAAAAACTAATCCAAATAACAACTTTTTAATGTATGCATCAAAACTTACGGCTGGCGGTTTTCTTGTGCATCAAATTCCATAGATCGCAGCTGGCTGTTCGCCACAACCAGCTGATTACGGAGTTCTTCCATTTTTTCATTCAAATGTTTGAGCATACGGGAGAAGAAATTATACAGGCGCTCCAAATCGTTTGCTGTGAACGAATTTCTAAACATTCTCACAATTTTTTTAAAAACTCAGGAACTGCCACAAACACACTGTTAGCAACCTCTGTTCATACACTCTTTATTCGCCGTAAGGTAACTTAGTTCCGCTCCAGTCTGCACTGCCTTTTCTTAACTTTTTTCATGGAGATGTGAACTTACAAAACTTAGAGCTCAGTGTGTAGAAACACCGTCAAACAGCAGCTATTCGAAGCAAGTAATTTTGATGAAAAAAGTCCCTCAAAGACAATCAAAATTAACAGGACTCGTTGAGGATGATAGTAAAAAATCAATAAAAATCACAAAAAAAGAAATCACAAATCACAAAAAATCACAAAAATCATAAAAAACTGGTGTCCGTTGTCACCAGCTTATGCTTACCTGTCCTCAGAAACACTCTGTTCCTGCCATTCCGCAGCAAGAAGGTACATTCGCTTTGCAAACGAAGACAGAGCGGCGGTACTATCTGTTTGTTCAAGTTCTCGCGCAGTCAGTGAAGTCATTGTACCGACAGTCTGAAGAAAAAAGTATATAAATCGAGTTCCCCCTTAAAAACAGACCCTGAAAGTAGGGATGAAAATAGCGAAAATTTTACCGCTGTACACAAAACCGTTGAATAACTTTCTGCCAGTGAACTGCGGTTTCGATTTGCCAGTAAGTCTTCATATTTCCTTTCAGTTTCAGCCAGCGTTTTTGCTACTCGTTCGAACTGCAAAAGTATCACGTGAAATGAAAAATTTGCATGTATTAACTTCTTTCGTTGCTGTTATTTGTAAAAAAACTAACATTTGCGGAAAAAAACTAACATTCTCCTTGATACAGCTATTTTTGGTGGATAACTGCTGCAGCTCCATCTCCAGTGTTTTTCTCGAGCGGCGCTCTGCGCGAACCTCTTGCTCCAAATCTTGTATTTTTTGCTGGCAATCATTATACTCTGTCTGAAAGATAAATTTACAAGTTTTGCAAGGGACATTTCGAAATTCATTGGCTATTAGATGCGAAGGCGCCAAACCCGTCATCAGCTTACTTCTAAGCCACCAAAATTTGTTCAGAGGCAATCTCACGGCAGGTTTGACTTTCTGACATTCGCTAGTGCTATTTTGTCACAGAAATGTATGGACAATTTGTAGAGAGGGACAATTATCCTGCTGGCGATTCGAATTCCCAGCCTTCTGCAAGAAAGCAGAATTTTTTGCAAGAGGGCAGCACTTTATGCATGGCAATATCAATCAACTGAGCTATTTATGCAAAAAAAAAAGAACAAAAATAGACAAGCACTGCTGAAAGCATCCACACAGTTTTGGTCGCTGAAAAAGCCATTCATCAAATAATTGTACATGGACGTGTAGATGCGACAAGTTTGAATGTAATTCATCGTATAATTCATTATTTTAGTGAAAAAAAAAGAAAAAAGTCAAAAGCTAAAAGGAAAAATGCATAAAACTACTACTTTCAAAATCCCAATTTTTTCTTGCATTTCGCGGCACTTATTTTCCGCACCATTACGGGTTTTTTCAGCGAATTCTGCGTCGCGTTGCAATGTGGCACTCCGAGCTCTCAATTCAGCAATCGTATGGCTGACCTGTACGAATTCGTCAAGATGCATTTCGATTTGGGCAAGCTGAAAAAGAAGGCAAACATCAAATATTCCACATTAAAAAGGCACTTTCACCGCACAACATACCTGGTTCAGGGCTGCTGTTTCAGCGTCTCCACCTTGCAGCATCAATACATTTGTCGGCGGCGGCTCATAAACAATGCCCAGGCTTTCCTTCACAATGCGAATCGTCTCATTTACTTTGTTTTCCAAACCCATTATTTCCTGCAATACGAATGACACTTCTGCAATTTGCCACTGTCTCTTGCAATAACTGAACAATTACTAGGATCAGTCCCGAAGTGAACAATGTTTATGGAGCGTAAGACTTCCGAGAGCGGATGGTCACCCTACAAGCCGCAATCAGTTATCGCTGCTTATATGCTCAAAAGTCCCTCTGTCCCCCACCAAATTTTGTTGCCTCTGAACAGAGATACGGCCGAAGAGCAATTATCACCGGGCAAATTAAAATTGACTGAAAGTTTGCTTGAAATAGCAAAAGAATTTTATGCAAATTTCGTAAAAACCTCTAAATTAGTCAATGAAGAGGGCAAGTGCCCATGCAAAAAGAGATCCATAGAACAGGAATTCTGTAACACAAAATCAAAAGCGACCAACGGAAACAATTCACTTACAGCTCTACAATGTGCCAGTTCGCTTTCACAGTTCCCCAGCTGTTCGTTAACGCGATCCACTTCCGCTCGAAGTGCCTGGAACACAGAAATAAAATGAAAGGCAAGTTTTTGCCCAAAAACATCAAGATATTCAGCAGCATATATTGAAAACAGTTGTGGCTGGTGAATTTGACTCAGTTGTAAG